CCCATCAAGGAAAAAGGGTGAACAGTGTGGAGATGCTTCAATTCTAGAGCTATGTGGGGTGCTACAAGATCACGGATTTCACCTGTGCTCTTTCAACTCCACTTTGGCAAAACACAAAATGAAAGATTCACTACACTAACTCCTTTGAGGCAAACTCAAAAGCAGTAAATTAAGTCAAGGTATGTTCTTGTATCACCAACTCAACGGACACAAGTTTGAGTAGACTCCGGGAGTTGGCGATGGACAGGGAGGCTTGGCATGCTGCGGTCCATGAGGTCGCAAAGAGTCGGACACGACTGAGTGACTGCACTTCACTTTTCACTTCAGCCCCACTCTGCAAAGCAGGTGAATGTAAGCCCAGGAACCTGCATTTGAACACGGCTGGTCCAAGTGCTTCAGTTACAGGCTGAACTCAGACAAAGTCTAGGAAATCATGATTTGAAGATGGCACTGTTAAAAGAATCAGGATCCTTCCTGGCCACTCTAAGCAAGCACTCAATAAAACTTAACAGCCATGATCATTGTGGCCTTGCTTCTGCAGGGGCTGTGTCTGGTCCCCTGCTGTCCCCAGGGCCCAGGGGAGTGTTTGGCTCTGAGAAGGTGATCAATATCACCAGGAAAGCGGTTTTCTCCAGGCAGCAGTTCCGGAAGGCAGAGTGGAGGGTGAGGAGCTGAAGTTCCTACTTCACCCTCCTGTGCTGTTTGAATGTTTTAACATGTACACGTATGACTTTTCTAAATTCTCAAACTTGTTAAACTGTATATTAACTTGTTAAATGTCTCAAATAACCTTCTTGAGACTTTGGGTGGAGAATGTGTTCTCTTCCTAAGGCTTTTTGATTAAGAGCAAAGAGTGCAAAATCTGATTCCTTGTAGCCTGTGGAAGTCCCATTCAATCCATGTGGTCTGTGCCCAGAGAAATGCTGGTTTGAGGGATCTTCAGGGCTGGAGACTCCCGAGAATCCCTTGGACAGCAAGGAGATCAAACCAATCACTGGAAGGACTGATGCTGAAGCTGAAATGCCAATACTTTGGCCACCTGATGCGAAGAACCTTTTCGTTGGAAAAGACCCTGATGCTGGGAAAGATTGANAAGCCTTAAAGGCAGGAAAAAAGAACAGCTACAGCATTAGGGCAGTTTCATCCTCGTTTGCCACAAAGGGCCAGATTCCAGGCTCTAGGCCTTCAATGTCCACGTGGTCAAGAGAAACGGATCGGGCAATCTAGACTGCCTTGGGTACAGACCATCCTCTCAGCCACCCACCCTTAAAGCAGCAACATCAAAATAAAAGGAGGCTGTCTGAGGTAGATGAAAACATTGAGAATTTAGGAAAGTTGGAAAAGCACAATGAAAATCCATCATGGGCACTGACTTCAAGGTCAGAAGGCGAATGAACTGCAACGTTGTGTTCGAAGAACAAAATTGTGGGGTTCCTGATATTCCTGGATGACCTGCAAAACTTGAACCAGAGTATTAACTAATTCCACACCTTGTTAGGGACATGGGAAGCAAGCATCAGGGTCTTTTCCAGTAAGTCAGTTCTTCACATCAGGTGGCCAAAGTATTGGAGTTTCAGCTTCAGCATCAGTCCTTCCAATGAATATTCAGGACTGATTTCCTTTAGGATGGACTGGTTGGATCTCCTTGCAGTCTAAGGGACTCTCAAGAGTCTTTCCCAACACCACAGTTCAAAAGCGTCAATTCTTCAGTGGTCAGCTTTCTTTATAGTCCAACTTTCACATCCATACATGACTACTGGAAAAATCATAGCTTTGACTACATGGACCTTTGCTGGCAAAGTGGTATCTCTGCTTTTTAATATACTGTCTAGGTTTGTCATAGCTTTCTTCCAAGGAGCAAGCATCTTTTAATTTCATGGCTGCAGTCACCATCCACAGTGATTCTGGAGCCCCAGAAAATAAAGTCTGTCACTGTTTCCATTGATTCCCCATCTATTTACCATGAAGTGATGGGACTGGATTCCATGATCTTAGTTTTCTGAATGCTGAGTTTTAAGCCAACTTTTTCACTCTCCTCTTTCACTTTCATCAAGAGGCTCTTTAGTCCCTCTTTGCTTTCATTTTGTCAGTATTAATTGGGTAAATTAATAACAATAATGCACAATTACTGAGCAGTTACTCTAGGTTAGGCAATGTGCTAAGAATAGCTAGATGGAACTGCCTAGGTAGTTGACAATGCTGTGACTGATGGAACATGTCAAAAGTGGTTTGTAAAGTTTTGTGTTGCAGATTTCTCGCTGGATGGTGCTCCATGGTCCGGCACACCAGTTGAAGTTGACAGCGATCAAACTGAGACATTAATGGAAAACAGTCAGCATTATACCATGCAGGAGATAGCACAATATGCTCAAAATACCGAAATCAAGTGCTGGAAATCACTTGTACCAGCTTGGTTATGTTTATTGCTTTGATGTTCAATTTCCACATAAGTTAAGCAAAAAGAACCTTCTTGACTGTATTTCCACATGCATTTCTCTACTGAAATGTAACAAAAATGTTCCATTTTTAAAAACAAGTTGTGATGGGTAATGAAAAATGGATACTGCACAGCAATGTAGAACAGAAAAGATCGCTGTTGTTGTTCAGGTGCTCAGTCCTGTCTTTTTGTGACCCCATGGACTGCAGCTGTCCGCTTTCCTGTCCTTCACATCTCCTGGAGTTTGCTCAAACTCATGTCCATTGAGTTGGTGATGCTATCCAACCATCTCATCTTCTACTGCCCCCTCCTCCTCCTCCCCTCAATCTTTCCCAGCATCAGGGTCATTTCCAATGAGTCGGCTCTTTACATCAGAGGGCCAAAGTATGGGAGTTTCAGCTTCAGCCTCAGTCCCTCCAACGAATATTCAGGGTTGGTTTCTTTTAGGATGGACTTGCTTGATCCCCTTGCAGTCCAAGGGACTCAAGAGTCTTCTCCAACACCACAGTTTGAAAGCTCTTCAGCGCTCATTCTTCTTTCTAGTCCAACTCTCACATCAGTACATGATTTGTACATAATTACTGGAAAAATCTGCTAATGCAGGAGACGCAAGAGATGCAAGTTTGATTCCTAGGTTGATAAGATCCCCTGGAGGAGGGCATGGCAACCCACTCCAGTATTCTCACCCGGAGAATTCCATGGACAGAGGAGTCTGGTGGGCTACAGTCCATGGGGTTGCAAACAGTCAGACATGACTGAGCATGCATATCCAATTTTATTACATAATTATTTAAAAGAAGGAAGAATATCATATTACAAAATATTATAGTCTATTTTAAATGAATTTTATGATGCAGTATGTTAATTTAAAATAAAATACTTTAAATATAAATACTAAATATACATACATGTTTATGTATACAAGTGAATATCCACCTGGAAAAGTACTGAAAAAACCGTGGTCAACTTTAGGCAAAAGAAGTTTGAAGTGATTTTGCTGTTTCTTTGTGTTTTTCTATTTTGTTCATAGTTACTGCGTTTGAAAATGTTCTACTTTGGTCATTTGTAACCCTATTTTGAAAAGCAAAATACCAAAATTTAAAACTCTGAAACTGAAGATCATTTTCTAAATGAGATCTAAAACTAAAGATCATTTAACATCCCCATCCTAACACTTGAATTGTAGCTATAAATCTCCAGGGCTTAATATAATCCAAGAATTACAACCTTAGAATTATATGAATGTGTTCTCAACCCATTATAAAATAGGTAACTTCTAGATATGTTTAGTGCCAAAGTGTTTTTCTAAAACAAAAAAGGGAGGAATATCAATCAAAATAAGAATGTAGACAAATAAATCTCTCATCATCTTTGTACCTTCCCTGTTTTCTTCCTTATCCTCCATTCTGCATCTTCTTCTTTCAACTATAATATACAACTTGAGAAAAGAACACAGTTCCCCCTACACAGGTCTATTTCACATGCTTCTATGAAATCCTTTCTACCCAAAACTTACCTTTGAAGAAAATACACCAGTGAAAAAGACTAATAGAATTCACTGTGTGTATCAACTACACTATCTTTCATCTCTTGACTTTGCCTTAGGAGACCTGATATCATGAACTGAAATACAGGAAGCATTTTTCTGATAATGCAATGACTCCCTCAGACTTTTGCTCCTTTTTTATTTTGCCTTTGATCGATGTGTCCAGGGTACAAAATATCTTGAAGTTATACCACCCACTCTGCCCTCACCTTCTAGCATGGTAATTGTCCCTTCTTTCAATCATAAAGTTTAATTGGCTTTTTCTAAAAAAAATGTATCATTTTTCTATCTGTATTTTTGTTACAATTCATGAAAAACAATACTCTGTTAATTCTTTCAATGTTAATTTTTAATTTCACCCTATTTTCAATCCACAGTTTCATTTAAACTTACAAAATCAAATGAGAGCGTTGAGGCTCTGAGAATGTAGACTAGAAGTGAAATCTTCACAAGAACTGACTCAGCTGAATTTCTCTTGTAACTTGGACTTAACTTTCCCACTATCAGACCACACCCTTTTCCATTCTAAATATCTCCCATTTCTCTAAGTTCAGCCACTTGCTATAACTCTTAAACATGCTCTAGTGGTTTAGGATGTGCTGCAAAGATCATAATACAAAAAGTGACTGAGTGACTTTCCTGGTCCAGTGGTTAAGAATCCACACTTCCAGGGATTTTTCTGATGGTCTAGTGGTTAAGACTCCATGCTTCCACTACAGGAGTCATGGGTTCAATCCTTGGTCAGGGAACTAAGATCCCAAATGCCAAAAAAAAAAAAAAAAAACTACACNAATTAAAAAAAAAAAAAAAAAAAAGAATCTACACTTCCAATGCAGGGGACGTGGGTTCCATCCCTGGTTGGGAACTATATGCCCACAGCCAAAAAGTAAATTTTTTTTAAAAAAAATGTGACTGAAAGAGCAGGTGGTCGGTCAATTCCTGCTTCTTGAGTCACTTTCTCATGTGGCTTCCTGATGCCACATTCATCTGCCTTCCCTTCTCACTCACTAGGTACCCTTCAGTCTCCTTTGCTGGATCCCTGTCTTCTGATGTCCGTGTGATAAAACAGCCCAGGTCCCAAGCCCAGACCTCTTCTGCATCTACATTCATTCTCACTGGGATCTCATTGACCTCACTGCTTTAAACACAGTCTTCCAAATGTACATCTCCAGCCAAACTTCACCTCTAAATTTGGAATTTATTCAGCAGACTATTTGACATCTCTAGGTATAAGTAATTTTTTAATCTGATTTTTATTTTCAAAATATATAATGCATTTCCATTAATACAAGCTCAAACCTATAGTATAACAAGGTATATTCAGAGAATTCTCACTTCCATCCATCTATTCCTTTCTCCCGCCACCCATAGGTAACCACTTTTACTAGCCCTGGAATTATGTTGCCAATGTTTCTTTTGCAGACTGAACAACACATGGACAAACAAACTGAAGCAAGTAAGATTAATTGTATATCAAGTGGTGATATAATCACTGACAAAATAATTATTTCTAGTGGCTTTAGAACATAGTATTTTGACCATCTGATCTAAGTAGAATAAATTCTAAGAATACACGCTGCTTCAACGAAAGTTTATACTTCATTCAGTATTCTTACTGTCAGTGGTAATATCAGTATTATTATGTTTAAATTAAATTTGTATATTGTAGAATACACGTTTCAGGACCATATTTTACACTCTGTAGAATATATATATTGACACTGCATATATTGTAGGATAGAACAAATAATAAGTAACTACATAAGAGAATAAAGAAATGATAATAAAAGCAAAGAAGCTATGCCAAGTCTTTATAAGGTTAAACCTAAGTTGGAAATAGCAGTAGCACCTCATGACTTTTTTTCCTTGTACAAATAGGTGTTTCCTGACTGTGGAACACTAAAAAGGCTTATAAATAATGACAAACCCATAACAGTAAGCATTACTAGTGCCCACATTTTTGTTTCTAAACAGCACTCCCCACTAAAAGGAACCAAGGGTCTTTAGAGGAATAGCTGATTACCTGGGGAGGAAAAATACATAAAATGAACCTGAACATCTCATAACAGCAAGGAAGCTACTGAAGATTAAAGAGGTCATGTCAGTGGAGCACAAGAAGAATATGAAAGGGTTTCCACTGGCCAAAGATTAAAACTTTGTTTGTCTAAGAGGGTAAAGACTGCAACTGTTTGAAATACATGGAATACATAAATCCTTAAGTTTAAAAGGATACAAAAATCAATCACTCTGTCTGTCTGTCTCATTGGTCACCACTAAATGCAACCAGGGCATCAACTCCTTACTCTGAAATTAACATTTAAAGGGAAAGAATTAAATATTTATCCTATCTATCCTGGGTAAATTCCTTTTCAGAGTAACCAAATAGCCTAGTTAAGGAAGAAGTTTTCCTTTAAAAAATTCCAGTTAATGTGGCAAGAGGGACAGAGTTAGAAAACCACCTGTTTGCCACTTCCAAAAAAATAACTAAAGAAATGACCATTCGTGGATGAAACAATTAGATTAAAACTTTAAAAAAAATAGATTAAAGATTCTAATGCAAGACCTGAAACCATAAAACTCCTAAAAGAAAACCGAGGGGGTAAGCTCCCTGACATTGGTTCCGGCAATGGTTTTTTATATTTCACATCGAAAGGAAATTCAACAAAAGCAAAACTAAGCGAGTAGGACCATACTAAACTAAAAAGCTTCCACTCAGCAAAAGCCGTCAACAAAATGAAAAGGAAACCTGCAGAATGGAGGAAAATATTTGCAAGCCATGTATCTAGTAAGAATTTACTATCCAAAAGATATAAAGAACTCATAAACTGAATACCAAAAATATCTGATTAAAATATAGGCAGAGGAACTAAACAGACATTTCTCAAAGAAGACACAAAAATGACCCACAGGTACATGAAAAGATGTTCAACATCATTAACCATCAGGGAAATGAAATCAAAACCACAATAAAATATCACCTCACACTGTCAGGATGGCTGTAATAAAAAAGACAAGAGATGTGGAGAGAAGAAGCTGGGCAGTGTTGGAGGGAATGTCAACTGGTGCAGCCACTGTAGAAAACGTTATAAAGGCTCCTCAAAGAAACTAAAAATAGAACCACCATAGGATCCAGCAATTCCCCTTCAAGGTACATATCTGAAGGAAACAAAATCACTCAAAGAGGTATCTGTATCACCATGTTCACTGTAGCATTATTTACAATAGCCAAAACATAGAAACAACATAAGGGCCCATCAATGAATGAATGGATAATGTGATAAATATGTGTATACACACACACACACAGGAATATTATTCAGCCATAAAAAAGAAGGAAATCTTGCCATTTTTACAACATGGATAGACCATGAGGATTTTATGCTAAGTGAAATAAGTCATACAGAGAAAGAGAAATATTGTATGACCTTACTTATATGTGGCATTTTAAAAAACTCAGAAACAGATTACATTGGGGCTGCCAGAGGGAGATGGAGGTGAAAATGGGTAAAGGCGTTCAAAAACTATAAACTCCCAGTTATAAGTTCTGGGAATGTAATACACAGCATGTTGATTACAGCGAACAAGATGGTATACATATTCAAAAGCTGCTAAGAGAGAAAATCTTAAAAGTTCTCATTACAAGAAAAAATATTTGTAGCTATGTGAGGAGAGGGATGTTACCTAAACTACTATGGTAATCATTTTGCAATATATACATATATCAAATCATTTGGCAATACACCTTAAAGTAATACAGTGTTACATGTCAATCATATCTCAGTAAAACTGGGGGTAGGGTGTTAATGGGAAACTTCTGAATGTAGAGACTGGGCTTTCTGACTGTTGATTTAAATCCAAATCCACTGCTGACGCCTACTGTCACTAAAGACAGAACCAGACATGTCCATATAAACACCGTATAAAGTTTACAGCACCACCTATACTGTCCAAAAGACAGCACCTGAATCTAATGGGGGCTTGACAGCTAATTCCCAGTTTACTAGGCAAAAGATAAAACAGGGGATAAAGAAATCCATTAAGTATTCCAAAAAGAAAGACACAATCAAATGCAGAACACAGATACACCAGGTGATAAATTACCAAATTTCTTTAACACATTAAAGGTGTGGGGGAAAAGGGAGATTCAAAACGACTTTGAGATTCTGTCAGAAGGAACGGCTAAGAATTATTTACATCCTAATTATAAGAATCAAACTCTAAAAACACATATTTGAGACAATCAAGGAAATCTGAAAATGAACTCATTAGTGAACGAGACTATAGGATTATTGCTAATTTTGTTAGGTAAGATGACAAGATTGTGATTATGTAAGAAAATAACCATATTTTTACAGCTTCCTGCTGTGATATGTTGAGATACATGAAACATATACAAAAAATCTTGAAAATTGCCAATTCTGAACAAAGGTCTGTCTGGTCAAGGCTATGGTTTTTCCAGTGGTCATGTACGGATGTGAGAGTTGGACTGTGAAGAAAGTTGAGCACTGAAGAATTGATGCTTTGGAACTGTGGTGTTGGAGAAGACTCTTGAGAGTCCCTTGGACCGCAAGGAGATCCAACCAGTCCATCCTAAAGGAGATCAGTCCTGGGTGTTCATTGGAAGGACTGATGCTGAAGCTGAAACTCCAGTACTTTGGCCACCTCATGCAAGGAGTTGACTCACTGGAAAAGACTCTGATGCTGGGAGGGATTGGGGACAGGAGGAGAAGACGACGACAGAGGATGAGATGGCTGGATGGCATCACCGACTCGACAGGCATGAGTTTGAGTAAACTCCGGGAGCTGGTGATGGACAGGGAGGCCTGGCATGCTGCGATTCATGGGGTCGCAGAGAGTCAGACACGACTGAGCAACTGAACTGAGCAAGAGGTGTAAAGGGATTCATTTTACTATTCTATTTATGTACATATTTGAAAGCTTTCATAGCAATATCTATTTACTGACAAACTCACATAACAATCAAAGCTCTAATTAATTTAACACTAACTCTTCTTTTACCCCAACTAGGGCCTGCCACAAGCTGTCCTCTTAGGCAAGATCCTTTGAAAATGACTTCAGCTAACATCCCTATTGTGAGTGTCATAGCTGGCTCTTGGGGCTCACTTCCCTTCGCTGCTGTGGAAGGTGATGCACACAGCATCACCAGACACATCTCTCCATCGTGCTGAGTTCTCTTGTTAACATTTTTGCTACTGTCCTCAACCACAAATCAGACTCTTCAAGCAGAGCTGAAGCCCTCCCCACCACATTCAAGAGAAGGCACAAACTCAGATGGTAAAGAATCTGACTGCAATGTAGGAGACCCGGATTTAATCCCTAAATTGGGAAAATCCCCTGGAGAAGGGAATGGCAACCCACTCCAGTATTCTTGCCCGGAGAATCCCATGGACAGAGAAGCCTGGCAAGATACAGTCCATGGGGTGCAAATAGTCAGACACAACTGAGCAACTAACACACATACACACACACACACAAGATGGGATAGTCACAGCACTTCCATGCATTTTCAATATAAATTCTCCCCAGAAAATCCTCTCTCAGACTTAACTCTTTTACTTTATACGAAGACATTTTTCAATTATCCAATTAGTCTCTGTTATCTTCTTTGAAATTCTGAGTCTTGATAATTCCTCACAACTCACTTTGACATTTGACAGACAACTTTTTTGGTGCCTCAGCTGAAAATTCCAATTTATGGAAAATGCAGGGTACAACAGAAACTACCACAACACTGTAAATCAACTATATGCTAATAAAATTAATTTTAAAATAAATAATTAAAAATTTTAAATGCATAAAAATATTGCCATCAGGAGGTCAAGTGGCTCTAACAATGAAGTGGTTATTAAGATTACATGAATTAATTTATGTGAACATATGCTCCAAATCATAAAGTCAAAGTGAAAGTCACTCAGTCGTGTCCAACTCTTTGCGACTCCATAGACTACACAGTCCATGGGATTCTCCAGGCCAGAATACTGGAGTGGGTAGCCTTTCCCTTCTCCAGGGGATCTTCCCAACCCAGGGATCAAACCCAGGTCTCCCGTATTGCAGGTGGATTCTTTACCAGCTGAGCCACAAGGGAAGCCCAAATCATAAGGCCCTAAGCAAATATATTAGGTTTTTTCAAAGGAGCTTAAAATATTTTGCCTCATCTAAAATTAGACGAATTTGTTCAAATGTCAATTTATTTCATAAAGCACAATAGACCCTTTCAGGAAATTACTTAAGGTTTCAGATAAATACACAAGTGCACACACACACACACACACACACACCAGAATTAGTGATATCTGACAAACTATACATTAGTGAACTGGACATGTCTTTTACTTAAAGTCCAACTTTCAATCAAATAATCTATTAACTGCCCTCCTTAACAAAATAACATTTTAAAGCTCTGTAATTTACCTTAGAAGAAAAAATAAATTTATTTCATTTTGTCAACTCAACCGTATCATTTAGATGAGTGCCTACCGAAAGGACAGATGTCATCAGAAAATTGAATTCACTGTGCATCATGTAATATACAATCACATCTTTTATTTTAGCATATCCTAGAAAGGTCAAGCATTATGCCAGCCATGACCATACTTCCCATCTTAAGAAAACCTACAGCCACTAGTGAGGGAGAAGTCATTGGTTGCAAACTGTTCTTTTATTTTATCACAGTTTGGTTGTATTAAATGAATTATAACTGGCAAAGATCTGGGCTTCCCAGGTGGCACTAGTGGACAAGAACCCACCTGCCAACGCAGGAGACATAAGAGATGCGGATTCAATCCCTAAGTCGGGAAGATCCCCTGCAGGAGGGTAGGGCAACCCACTCTAGTATTCTTGCCTGGAGAATCCCCATGGAGACATGAGCCTAGTGGGCTACAGTTCATAGGAGGAGGGTAGGGAAACCCACTCTAGTATTGTTGCCTGGAGAATCCCCACGGACAGATGAGCCCAGTGGGCTACAGTTCATAGGGTTGCAGAGTCAGAAACGACTGAAACAGCTTGGCATACACACAACTGGCAGAGATCTATGCAAGTAGAGTTCTAAGTGATAAAACTTCAAGTCACACCTGAATCATCTGCCTTATACAATGACATTGAGCTTAATAGAATGTATAGAAGGGATAAAGTTCTTCTAAATGCATCCTGGCTATTTTATTCACCTCTCTATTGACCCAGCAATTCCACTCCTAACCAAGAGAACTGAAAGCATTTATTCACACAAAAACTTGTACACAAACTTGTCCATAATACAATAGCTAAAAATTAGAAACAATCTAAATGTCCATCAATTGATGAATGGATAAACAAAAAGTAGTATATTCACAGAATGGAATTACTATTCA